TTCAGGAAATCACAATCGACAGTAAGCCACATATAATGGATAAATGAAATCAGCATTTCACTAAATCTTTATTCCACTTGCAGAGGACAGCGAAATTAGAAGTTGTTTATCAAAAATATGCGATATTGATATTGACCGATTGAGTTATACAAAGGTAACATATATACAATTATAAAACTATATGAATCAGATCTTTTATCACATCAAATTCCCCCTTCCAGCTTAACAGCTATTTTCCCTGCACAAGCATATCGGCAGTTAGCGTGAATGAGGCCGTGAACTGGATGTCTGTGGCCGTCGGCCTGGACATGTATCCCCTGAACACCACGCAAAGCGGCAACATGTATTTGTATAAGTAAGTGGGAGAGGTTCAGTTGGCTCTGTAATGCATCACTCAATTCACGGTTATTGCTTGCAGAGATAAGAATGCGGCGGTGCGAGAGCTGTCAGCAGAAGAGCGCCGCTCGTTGACCAATAAGGAGAAGGCGCGCCTGGATCGACTCGGCTGCATTTCAACGCCCCGCTACTCTCATCGACGCGAACGAGCGCTGAAGATTTATTTAGATTCGCCGGAGAAGCCTAGCAATGTGACCGCCTCGGCGCCGGTAGATGCACATGCCGAAAACTAATTGCCTCACTGGCACTATCATCATCGTTGTCGTTTTACCCCGCTCCCGCGCTGACTGTAGTAGACTTGTTTGTTATATAATCGGATCAGCAAATACATGCAACATGTATTTCAGCTAAACACAAACGCAATCGATTGAAATCTACGAGTCCAGCAACGGCGCCTCTCCACTTTGATTGCATATTTTATTTCGTATATCCCGCGACGCGCACTTTTCGTTCTCATAGTTGTCGTAGTTTACCATTCACTCACTATTCACATCATACGATCATTCGTAGCAATTGTAATATGTAATTTGTTTTGTTGTTCAATTTTGTTGGCACAATTTCGTTTCGCATGTCGGTATGGAGCGCTCGCAGATGGGGCTGGCTGTTGGGGAAATGGGTGTCCTAGTAATATTAACGATAACAACAAATATTCTTGCTACTTTTGTAATACAAGAGTTCAGAGATGAGACTGTGTACAATTTTATTTACATGCAAGAAATTAAAAAAAAGGAAATATAAGATTGTGAAAATAACATAATATGCAAAACAAACAAAAAATAAAACAAAAATTATTTGTATTGGAAATAATCATCATGGCTCATTTTATTTACGTCTCTTTACTTAAACATATTAAGTGATATATGAAACAGTCTAATGATACATCCAACCACAGTCCAAGAAAACTCAGATTTATTTATCGGTTTTTTTTTTTTTTTATAAAATGTTAATTTTATTTAATACCTACTACGCGCGGGGTTCTTAACGTTTTTTTTTTTCTTTTCTTGAATTATAAGTTCGTTTTTAAAGATAACGTTTACTTTAAAAATTACAATTACAATTCTTCGTTGCGATTTGAAACAAACCGATTGTGAAATTTCAAAACGATAAAATCAGTACGCTTTTTGAAAGGAGCGAAATATATATAGAGCTTGCCGCACTTTCAGCTTTTCGGGTTGGAAAAACGCAATAAGCTTTCAAGTGCTTGTTTTTCTTGTTTCTTTTGTTCTTGTAGTGGAAATATTTAAAGTTCTTGGAACGAAAACGAGTTATGTTGTCAAATGGTTTCTCTGGTTTACTAATCAACGAATTTTATAGTAAAATTTTAAAGAGCGGCAGCAGTAGGCAGCGCAATTGTTCACATTGTAGTTGCTTTAAGGGGGCGTGTTTTGTATGGTATGCAGACGAGTGCAATTTATGCCTTGGTCTCAACGGCCGGCGCCGATTCCACTTTTGTCGCCGCACCACCAGCGGCCGCCTTCTTGCCTTTGCCCTTGCCCTTGACGGGTCCCAATGGCTGTGCGACCAGTTCCTGGAAAGGTATCAAACAAATTAAAAGGTTAGCATTGAGATCGCGCATGATCAGTAGAGGATTTTGCTTACCTTCAGCTCGGGTTGCGCGATGCTGTATTCGCTAACGTAGCTGTCGACGTTGAACGGTATGCCGGTAACCAGGTTGACACCGTTGGGCATGAGCAATACCGTGTGTTTGAACTGTGCCACAATTTCAGCTACAAGAGAAAAGCATAATAGTTTTAGATTACCTTTTCAGAGATATTAACAGCTGGGAATATATAGGAACTTTTGTAGCAATGGCATGTTCAGACCGAGGCCATGAAATGAGGCAACTGCTGAAGACGCCAAAGCCTTTGGAGCTTTATTCTAGCAAAATGTCTGGCCGAGGTTGGCAGCTCAAGAGTTACACCAAATCCGGAATTAAGTTTTGCAGGATTAACAAAGAAATCCATAATGAGCAAACTTACAGGGCTTCTCATAGAGCACTTGGAAGGGCTCAATCATCTTGTGTGAAACGCATTCAACGACTCCCATGCGCGCCTTGGTCTCTTCCTCGAAGCTGCGGATGTTGAAGGGCATGTTGCCATACTTGGTTTTCACCTCGGCGAGTAGAGCACGCGATGCCTTCAGCTTAAGCATGTAGTTCTCGTCGGACTTCTTATAAATGGAGACCTTTGTGTCCTTCTCGCGTCCCTGCAACATAAACCCAACTGTTAGCAAAGCTGCGTAGGCATTCAATCAACAAATTGCAATATATTACGATGCGTTCTCAGATCTCATAATCTTACAATCTCCGGACCAGCAATAGCGCAGCTTTGAGTCTGACATGTGCCGCGCTGCTAAAATACAACACGCCAAGCACACAAGGCGCTTACATGATCAGCCCCATTGCCGTGCCCAGCCAATCCTCAAGCGCGTGTTTTTAATCATTGAACAAGGAGAGAATGGAAGTATCTCTCATGGAACACAATGCTTACCACGCCTTCGCCGGTGCTGACGATGACATCGATGGCATAAACCTCGTGCTTCTCAAATGTGCACTTCTCATGCTCCTTGCGTTGGGCCTCACTCGGGTTCTGTATGATCGTTTTCTCACCATCGATTTTGAATTGCTTCAGCTCGTGACTGAGCATGCCCTCAATGGGCTTGCACTTGTACGACTCGCTGATTTGTTGCACGGCATCGGTGATTGAATAATTCTATAAATAGGTACAAGACATGGATTTGTAAGTTTACATCTAATATTTATAGTAAATATAATATTTGATGAGCATTTGGGCTAAATATAATTATTTTAACAAATTGTGTGCAATTGTAAAGACCAAACATTTCTGGGTATAAACTCGTTCAGTTCACGAAATTGCCGCAATTGATCTCTGCAGACGTTGAGCTGTACTGTGCCATTTATATTTGTTGGGCAGCAGCCAATCCGTTGCCTGCAGCAGAAGGATTACTATATATATGTGGGAATGTGAGCAATCAACACTAGCCCAGCCATCGATCTGATGGCAGCGCATTCGTCAATTGTCGCTAATGATCTATGCAAGTGTTGAGATGTGCTGGCGCTGTGTTTAATACGCTAGACAATCCGTTTCTTGCAGGCAAAGCAGCCTAGACAGACAAACACTTACACTGGAACCGGCCTTGAGCAGACGGAGCGCCGCTTGGGCGGCCCAATACGCAGCCAAGATGACATCAGCTTGACGTCCGCTTATTTTCTGATCGGCGCCAACGACAATTGTGTGTGCCGCAACAGCAATGAAGCCATCAATGTGGGCACCCAAGTCGCTGTAAATAACCCATAAATACATAAGGTAAACTAATTAAATGCGGGCTAACAAGAGCGAGTCGAAATACTTACATTTTGACCACATCGCCCGCCTTTAGCGTGTAGTCGGCATCGTTCTTAGCTGGCGAAAAGTGACAGACACAGTTGTTGACCGAGAGACAGGTCGGAAATGCGATACCCTTCTTCAGTTCCTTTTCCTTTTTGTATACCTACAGATGACAGCGTGTTAATCGATTTATCATGTTAACATTGCCAATTGGCTGTTTGCCAACTGTGTCCTCAGATCTCATAATCTATGAATCTTTGGGCCCCAAAGCCCGCACGCCGACCACAGATTGCGTTCGAAACGCACGTGGGTGAAAATTTCCACACACGCGGCGCACACATGCAGCCAGTCCGCAGCAGCGCGCACGCAGGAGATCCTCAATTGTGTAAGTTTTAATCATTGGACTAGTTTCTACAATTTAGTTATGGGTTTTCGGTTTTTTGTGGTAATATCCAGTTGAAACTTACTTTGCCGGTTTCTTCAGTCAGCAGATTGTCGCCCTTGGTGCATATTTCCCTCACTGAAGCGTCCGCTACACAGAGTTCAATCACTGTCTTCAGTGTTTCTAAAATTAAGCACATCAAACAGAAATAGTCGAGTTATTTCCATGTGAAACGAGTTTCGGCACGTCTCGCGTGGCTTTGTGAATCTCTCATTAACATTGCAATTGCATCTTGGGCCGACAAATTTTTTTTTATAAAGCTGCAGCTCAAAAAGCTGCTTAATAACTTTTTATTCTTATAAATTTTTTTTACATTCAACTAAAGAATTCAACTCCCGAAAACTTTGAGGTTATGCACGCTACGCTCTCGCATATCCCGCGTACACCGCCGCGTGGCTACTTAAAGCAACGGCGACGTCAGCGTCAGCGCCGAAGTCTTCGTTAGCTCCATTGTTGTCGGCTACACGTAGCGGCCGACGAATAAATGCAGAAAATTCAGATTTCACTTTCACTTTGCGACGCATTTGTCAATTACGTTCCAATATTTACTTACTATTTACAATTTCGCCAGCTAATTTGTATTTGGTAACAACCAAATCTTCAGCAATGGTCTTCTCAGGCTCCTTTTCTACGTCTGCCATTTTTAAAATGAAACAAAATGCGAGAGCTGCTAAATGACGAAATGATGTTTTTAAGAGTATATAGTGTTACCAGATATTTAATTGAGAACATCGAGCTGGCAGCACTGATTTGTGTGCGACCAATTGTAAAATTCAGGCTGACCATATTCTGTAAACAGCTAGATCAGTCTGGTAGCACCAATTCTAAATATATATCGCGTTTATCGACTGCCGACTTATAAAATAAACAAACCCGTAATTGATATCATTAAAAAGTTAATGATTTACTTAAATCGCAATGCATATTGCAATTCAATTATGCAATATTAAGTAAGGCGTTATTAATGCAATGTTGCTTTGCATTGCTTTGCGTGGCAAAAAATAAAATAATACTAATACTGTGATAACGCCGCGCACACAAACATAACATCGCTGACAACAGACACTAAATAATATTTTAAAAAATTAAATAAAAAATGATAAGGACGCGTACTCAAACATAACGTTGCTTACAGCACACACACACACACACACACACATACAATGGTGGGTGAGAGCGAATCAGGCAACGTACACGACGTAATCAATATAAATAGCAATGGCAAAGCACTGCAGACGGCTGCATCCGCTTCCCAATCGCCGTCACAGCGTAAACTCTCATCCGCATCGAAAGCGACGACAACGGAATTGCGCATTCTCTGCTTTGATCTAACTTACTACAATCGTACCACTAAATTTTTGTTGAGTTGTGCTGGCGTTTTTATACTTTACATCATCTACGGATATCTGCAGGAGCTGATATTCACAGTTGAGGGCTTCAAACCATATGGATGGTTTCTCACCCTGGTGCAGTTCGGCTACTATATTGGCTTCGGCCTGGTGGAACGTCGCTTGGAGGCCTACCGAACATATGGCGGCCCAATCTGGAGCGTTCAGCCAGCACCACGTAGCATACCGTTGCAGACATATATTGTGCTTGCCGCGCTTACGCTCGGCACAATGGGCCTGTCGAACTCGAGTCTTGGCTATCTGAACTATCCCACTCAAGTAATCTTCAAGTGCTGCAAGCTAATCCCTGTGCTCGTTGGCAGCATCATAATACAGGGCAAGCGCTATGGTCCTCTGGACTTTGCTGCTGCAACAGCCATGTGTGTGGGCTTGGCATGGTTTACACTGGCCGACTCGCAGCTGACGCCCAACTTCAATCCCCTTGGCGTTGCCATGATATCCGGCGCATTGTTGTGTGATGCCGCCATTGGCAATGTCCAGGAGAAGGCGATGCGGGAGCACAAAGCGTCTAGCAGCGAGGTGGTTTTCTACTCCTACGGACTCGGCTTTGTCTATCTGTTTGTGATCATGTTGCTCACCGGGAACTTCTTTAGTGGCTTTGCCTTTTGTTTGGCCCATCCGTTAGAAACCTTTGGCTACGGCTTCCTGTTCAGTCTCTCTGGTTACCTGGGCATACAATTCGTCTTGGCTTTGGTCAGGAGCAGTGGAGCTCCGCTTGCTGCCACGGTGACCACTGCGCGCAAGGCAGTCACCATTGCCTTCTCGTTCCTGCTCTTCAGTAAACCCTTCACAGTGCAGTAAGTTGCAATTAATCATCAATTTGATCTCTCTTAATGTCATGTTTTTCTATTTTTTAGATATATCTGGTCTGGGCTGATCGTTGTCTTGGGAATTTATCTGAATGTATACAGCAAGAAGAGCAACCTGACCTTTGCAGACTTGCAGCATAGGCTCAAGCAATGCAGTGCGAGATTATCTCGTTCCTCAAGTCGCAAATTCCTTATTGAAGTATAATAGAGTTTACCAAAAAACATAAAGTCGGAACAATATTTATAAGATAACTATGTACTATTCTTAAGTATACATAAAGCATTCAAAATGTAAAAGCTGTTTATATCTATCTGTCCATGTCAAGCTCCATCACTCGTTTGAAGAGATCCTGACGTTCCTTTGCGGATGCTACTTGACCCATCATGCGATCCAAAAACTGTCGTTGATGATTGATTATAAACTTGTTGCACTGTATAATGGTGGCACCCACGTAAAGAGTGCGGAACTTGGCACGCACATCGCCTATCTGGAATTTTTATTTATTTATGCAGATATTTATATACATTACTTTATATGGTATTGTATTACCAGCGTTATCAGCGGCAATATACTCGACACATAGCGTTGTCCACGATGCAGGCAGCGTATGATGGCAATTTTAGTGCGCTCATTGCAGTATTTCACACGGAAACCGTGCTCCAAGATCCCCAATCCGTAAACTCCGTAATATTTCTCAACATTTTGCAGCAAGCATTTAGTGAGCGTATGGTCGTTGAGGCGAAGGGTGTTCACCGGTGCATATGGTACAATTTGTACGGCTATATAACTGATAAGCAATAGTGGCGGATATTTTATTAGCTGTCAGTTATAAATACGAGTATTTATTTAATTAACTTACCGATTTTTAATGCGCACCATTGTAAACAAACACGAGCTGTTCCTGCACTGCGTTGCCAGACTGTCAAAATACGCTTGCGATGTGCCGAGTGACCGATTAATCGAGACGGAATGGCATTGATCGTGAAATGCGAACGGCCTTGTATAATGAGAGTAACTTTTGCAATTCTCAGACGAATGAGCGGGAGAGAGTGAAAGAAAGAATGAGAGAGCGAGAGGAGAGTGCGCGCGAGATGTTTGCAATTTAAATATTTCAATACCTAATCAAATCTGTAATTACGAACTAGTTTTTAGTACGCAAGCAACGCTCGTACCTGCTGGAAGTACTAGTAAGTAGGCATAATGTTGAATGATTTATTATGTAAATGTTTTTGTTAAATTCATTAGTTATGTCTCAAATTTCAAGCAGCCTTGCATAATTGAATAATTAATTAGAATGTTTATTAAAAGGGGATTGTTACAACCAGTTACTGTTTATTTATTTTTTAAAGTAGCGGCTTTCAGGCCGATCCAATTTACCCCTAGCCACGGCCTCAGATCCAAAACAGACCCTATTCACCAGATCTATTAGAACCGATAGCGGTACAATTCCACCTCTCGAAATTCTTATCAGTTTATGTTAGGCATTTGAGGCGAGCTGGCTTTAATAACATTTGTACGTTTGTACATTTGTACAGCAGACGCAAATACTGTAATATGCCGAGCCGCCAGTACTTTATAGGCGTGGATGTGGGCACGGGCAGTGCGCGAGCAGCGCTGGTCAATACCAAGGGTCAAGTGGAGCACCAGGCCGTGGAAAAGATCAAAACATGGACACCCGATCCGGAGTTCTATGAGCAGTCGAGCAACGACATTTGGCGTGCAGTCTGTACGGTCGTCAAGGTAATGTACAGTTATCGGATAACCTCAAGATCGTTTCAAGATTAGATTAACCTAGAGCTCGTTTGCAGCATGTCATTAGCAATATCACTAGAGCACAAGTGAAGGGCATTGGCTTCGATGCCACTTGCTCCCTGGTTTTGATTGATAAAAATGGTCACCCGCTGACTGTAAGCAAGACCTCTGTGGATGAACAAAATGTCATTCTTTGGATGGATCATCGTGCCGCTGAAGAAGCGGATCAAATAAATGCCACCGCGCATCCCATACTTAAATACGTGGGGGGCAAGGTGTCTCTGGAAATGCAGATGCCCAAGCTGCTCTGGCTCAAACGTTACCTGCCGTACTCATTTAACAATCTGGGGCGGGCCTTCGACCTTCCCGACTACCTCACCTGGCGTGCAACAGGCGTCGACACTCGCTCCCTGTGCTCTGTGGTCTGCAAATGGAACTATGATGCCGAGGAGAATAAATGGAACGCCGACTTTTTGCGTAGCATCGATCTCGAGGAGCTGACGCACTCAAATTTCTCAATTATTGGCAACCACATGGAGTCGCCCGGCAAGCCGGTGGGCTCGGGCCTAACCAAGTTAGCTGCCGAAGAGCTGGGCCTGCTACCAGGCACAATGGTCAGTACGTCCCTAATCGATGCCCATGCTGGAATATTGGGTACGCTTGGCTGTCAAGCAGAAGATATTGACGAGGATATAACCACTAGAATGGCTTTAATTGCCGGCACATCCACCTGCCACATGAGCTTGACTAAATCCATTTGCTTTGCGAAGGGCATTTGGGGTCCGTACAAAAGTGCCGTGCTGCCCGGCTACTATCTAAACGAGGGTGGCCAATCGATTGCGGGCCATTTGCTGGACCATATACTGAAATCGCATGACAGCTACGCTACGCTTAAGGATAAGTTGGGCGGAGATAAGTCAGTGAATATCATCTGATTGTGCATTACTAATCTATAATTCTATAATGCTTTTGCTGATTACAGATATATTTACCAGCACCTCAACCAGTTGCTGCCAAATATAGCCGCGTCGCAAGGCCTCCCCGACATGGCCTACCTAACGCAGGATGTGCACGTGTGGCCGGATCTGCACGGCAATCGCTCGCCCGTAGCGGATCCAACGTTGCGTGGCATGGTAAGATATCTATTTAATATTTAATATTCTTTTTTGTAAGCACAACTCTTTATTCGATTAGATAACTGGACTGGATATGGCGCGCGGAGTGGAGTCGCTGGCCATTATCTATTTGGCCTTCGTTCAGGCTCTCGCTGTAAGTGAATGTGACTCTGTTTCGGGGGTTTGTTTTCATCACGTATTTATTTATACTTGATATTTTCGATATAGTACGGCTCACGGCACATTATTGAGAATCTTTACCTCTACAAACGGCCGCAATTCAAATCGATGCTCTTCTGCGGCGGCTTGTCCAAGAACCCGCTCTATTTACAGTGCCATGCGGATATTTGCAACCTGCCGTGCTTGGTTCCTTACGAGGAGGAAATGGTATTGGTAGGCGCTGCCACCTTAGCCGCAGCTGCCTTTGGCCAGTACAATAGCCTAGAGGTGTGTGTTGTGTACAGAACTACATATCGACTAAGAATATCAAATTCGCTTGTGTGCCTTTCTCTTTGTAGGCCGCCGCGAAAGCCATGTCTGGTATGGGGCGTGTGATAAAACCTAATGAGAAAACACATGAGCTGCATGATCGAAAGTACAAAGTCTTTCTGAAGCTAATGGAGAATCAATACGAGTATAGACGCATTATGCATCCAGACAGTGCATAGAAGGATTCCACACAATTACTATTCGATGGTCAACACTTGAAACGAATTTTTATCAATAATGTAAACTGCACACTAATTAGAGCTCAAGTAACAAACACTTATGAGACGAAGACAGGTACAGTTGATCTAATTTGGCTGTAATCCACAGAGTTAGGCAATAAATGCAGCCGCCTTCGAGTCGATTTTGCTGCGGCAAACTGGGCAAGTAATGTCGATTTTTTGGGCGCAATCCTCACACAGGCACACATGTCCGCAGGGCAATAAAATGATCTGGAAGAGCCAAAAGAGCAGAAGGCATTAGTGATGGAGATTATACACTATAATATGTAGTCATCCTACTTCTTTGGGATTGGTGGAGCAGACAACGCACAGTTGATCTTGGCTCAAGGTATGCGGCCTGTTGCGTGCTCGTCGCTCTCTACGCTCCACCTCGAGGCGCTTGCGAATCTTTGCTTCCTCATGTTCTTGCTTCTTTCTGCGGTACACTTTCCGTACGATCAGACCCACCAATACCATTGATATGCTGCTGCACAATACAATTTTAAAGCTGCAAGAGATTACATATGAGATAGGAAACATTTAAGGCCGTATTAAGTTAGCTTACAGCATAGAAGATTTGGCATCCTCGAAACGTTTGATGAGCGTTGATTTTGTGGCCGTGGTCAGGAACAGTGGTCCTTCTTTGGATGGCTGCATGCGCAGCGTTTCGCCATCCAATTCCAGTTCGCCAATGGCGGTCAAAAAGCTGCCGTCACGCAGCACCTGTTCGGTAGTCTGCAGCCCCTTCTGCCTTACGCCCGTAAAGAAGCCAAATATATGATCAAAGAACGACAGAGATGTGGACTCATAGTTATCGTAGACCACGTCCACATCTAACACAGCGGCACTCATTGCATCTACAATTTCCACACCATGCGATTGATTGCGTAGCTCAAAGGGCATCTCGTTGACGCTCTCGTGCAGCATCTTTCGCTGCTCTGCCCAGAAGCCGGCAAAGGCTCGCATCACCCGATGCTCATGTAGCTTTACAATTTGGAGAACGCCGCTCACACTGGGCACAAACGAGCTGCGCAGTGGCACACCAATTGGGGAGACAGTGCCCCGAATGACAGCATACGGAATCTTCTTATCCCGCTGCCGTGACACAATATTTTTTAGCTCGCCATCAATATTATACTGCGGCGCCTCCTACAGGTACATACAGAATTTTGTTATGATTATGCAGGCACTATTACCAAGAGCTGATCGTCTTACCTTCAACACTCTCGCGGTGTTCTTATAGTTCACATATTCGCGTACACAGAGGCCTAAGATGAGTATGTCGACGCCAAGCGCAACAGCTTCGTGTACGAAATCCATTCGAAATGGTCAAAATAATATCTATAAATGTTTAAAGCGAGTTTAATGTGTCGGTGTGCCTGTGCAGGGCACAGCTGGGATATGCTAGATTTCAATTGGGATGCTATCTATTTTCGATAACAAAAATACCAAAAAAACTTGTGCTATCAATGTCGATAATTACGAAATAATTTTGACTGTTATCGACTTGCTAGCGCGCTCAACTTTTGATTTAAATTTAACTGACTGTTGCAAATCAAAGTAAACAGTCTGCGCCAATATTTAAATAACGCAAACACAAGTTAAGTGCTTTCTGTTTGTATAGAGAAACTGGTAAAGGTCATATAAACAAAAGTAATGCTAACCAAAGACTTTGTCCACAATGTTTTCTGGGTCAATATGGGCCCATTTACTCATCAGCAAAGCATTTCATTCTAGTCAATTCTTTTTTGTAATCGCTCGTTGTTGTAATGGTTACGTTTTTGTTTTTGTTTTTTTTTTTCCCCTTTGCTCAACTCGAAACTTTCGCAAGATATTAGATACACAGACACACGCACACACAGATAAATGTAGAACACTCGTATTGATATAAAGATGGGCTCTCGCGCCCAGTGCCACAATCGAAGATATCTTTTACCTTAGTGCGTCTGCTATATTTGGGCTGTGAGTCAAAGTGTTTTTGTAGTTCCCAGCTACGCAATCAAATCAGACAATTTAAGTACTTTGCAGCAATTAGACGTGCTCAAACTAACAGTGATCTTCACTCTAACAACATGTCCTGTAATAAGCTGTATTTTAGCATGGTAAGAGCTAACAATATTAATTATCGCTGAATTATTTCTAGTATACATCATTCTCTCTCTTTTTCTCTGTGTGAAATAGCTACTGCTCTACGTCATCAATTTGATGAGCGCTGCCACGGTTACCATGCGCATCTTTCAGCCCCGGGAAACGAGCAGCTGCGAGGCAAGACAGACACCTGGACCCATTTGTGAGTCGTGTGAACTGCTCGCCACTTGTGTGCAGCACTCGAACGGCTGGGTGAATATACCCGTCGAATCGTGTGATGTGGCCAACGGATACTATTGTAATGTGCGCCTGGGCACGTGCTCGAATGCCACTGGCCCCTGCCATCCGTTTGGCATTGTGGGCAACTTCCAGTGCACCTCGCAGGGCATCTTCCCGGATCCCTACGACTGTCAGAAGTATCACATGTGCTACTTTGTGGGTGCCACTCTGGTGGCAGCTGCTGTCGACTGTGGCAATGACAAAGCCTTCGACGCTCACACCGGCCAGTGCTCAATGACGCTGGAGAGCCGGGTGTGCACTCAGCCGCAGTACCACTGTCCCAGGGTGGGCTATGTGGCCGCCTGGCCCAGTAATCCCAACATATTCTACGTGTGCAAGTCGACGGTGAATCAGAATCTCAATGATTCTGTCGTCATTTATCCATCGCTGCATCGCTGCAACGACGGGGAGATCTTTGCGGATTTCGTCTGTCGTCAGGGAAACCCGAGCCACCCCGACCCCTCCAACCCGTCCAACCCGGACCAGCCCGAAATTGTGGATCCCAACGATGATGGCTTCAGTGTAATGCCAGGCAAATGCGCACACGTCGGTCTCATGGCCGACACGCACGACTGCCACAAGTACTACTACTGCTCCGCCCTGAATGGGACGATGCGCCACTTGGAGTGCCCGGCCGGCACCTACTACCGCAAGGAGCAGTCGGCCTGTGTGCTGGGCTCTTGCTAAATCTTAAATAGTACCTAATTGATTTTTCGAAACTCTGTTCTCTTTTGGGCTCTAATGAAGCATCATTAACTATTATCTTTTAATTATGCCTTTGACATATACCACGTACACTTATCTCTGACTATTTAAGCGGCTGCCGGCTGCCATTTCAGTCAACAGTCTTTGAAATGAATTGGGTTAAGTTGTTGCTTCCACTGCTGGGGTCTTTGGTGGGCTGCCAGGGCAATGGCCATGCCATTGATTCCGCCGAGCTGGTGACAAATCCCTGCCAGGAGATACGGCTGGCCGGCTTTGTCTGCGTCGATTGCGCCACGCTCGGCTTCTGCTCGAACGTGGATGGCCAGTGGCAAACGGTGTCCATGACGAGCTGCCAGTCGGAGCGCGGCTTCTTCTGCAGCGATGAGGGCTCCATTGGGTGCACCTGGCAGCCGAAATGCCAAGTGCCAGTGCGCGGCAAATTCTACTGCCAGCAGCCGGGCATATTTCCGGATCCGTACGACTGCCGCAGCTACCACGAGTGCAGCGAACAGAACGTGGACACGTCGCGTCAGTGCACCAATGGCGCTGCCTACTCCCTGCTCACCAACAGCTGCAGCCTGCCGCGGGAGAGCGAGCTCTGCTCGGAGAAGCAGTACAGCTGCAGCTACGTGGGCCAGACGGGCGTCTGGGCTGCCCACAACAGCTACTACTACATCTGCCAGAAGGACAAGGTGGGCGCTCAAGATGTCTTCTACCCGCTGATGATGAAGTGCAGCGATGGCTACAGCTTCAATGGCCACAGCTGCGTACCGGACACCAAGTTCAAGCAGATCGAGCCAGCCGAGGCTAGCTGCGAGGAATCGAAGCTCTATGCCGCTGAATCTAAGCATGGCTACCTCTTATGCATAAATGGTGAACTCATGAGCTACGAGTGCCCCGAGGGCTCCATCTTTGATGGCATTAGCGCTGTGTGCAAGCCGGAGCAGTAGAGGGGCTCCATGTAATCCCATTCGACAACTTCAGTTGGAGCAATAAAATACGATTATTAAGCAATTATGTCTAGGTTAACTCGTGTACCTGGCCTTATCTTATCATTATCACTCAACTATCGCCTTAGCACTTCCGCAGCTTTGCTCATCGAATATTATTTAAGCTACTGCTAGAGCGACGCGGCAGTAACAGTCTTTGAGATGGATTCCAAGTTATTACTGCTGCTGCTCCTGCTGCTTACCCTGACTGCCAAAGGGAGCTCCGAGGAATGTCGCACTGGCATGATCTATCCGGCGGACTCTGTTTATGAGTACAGCTACTGCTTGAATGGAACACTACAACTGGAGTCGTGTCCCCTGGGCAGCTACTTTGATGCGCATTACCTCATGTGCCGCCACGGAAAGCCGCCCGGAGGGGACGGTACGGGATTTAACTCGGGCAAATGTGAGCGCGTGGGCTTAGCCGGCGACTTGACCAATTGCAATCGCTTCTATCACTGCCCGGGCAAGGGCGCTGACATGGAGCTGCGCAGCTGCAGGCCTGGTCAGGTCTTCGACTTGGGCAAATTTACGTGCGTCGCGGGCAACTGTTGAGCTGTACAAAACATTTTATTCGTACAAAAAAAAAAAAAAAAAAAATAATGATAACAAATCTTATATGGCTAATAAAATGAGACAGAGACGCGAATTAGTCGTCGCATTCGCGCACAACGGGATGCAGCACAATGGAGGCGCCATTGCAGCCAGTGCGATCCGAGATGAAGTCATGGAAATTGCTCTCGAGCGCCCACATGAAGCGCTTGTGGCCCGGCAGCACTTGGGTGGAGAGGCGACAGTCGCCGCCACGCTGCACCTCCTGCAAGTTGGAGGCCTTGAAGCAGGTCTCCGAGTCCCACAGATAGATGTCGTTCTCGCCCTTGTAGCGGAAGAAGAGCGAGGTGCCGCCATCGGCGCCCAGCAGCACCGCCTGCTTGCCATAGGGTTTCGGTCCCACATCGATGATGGAGCCAGCGCCCTGGCCCACCCTCAAGTACTCGCCCTTAATCGAATAGAGGCGCGACGAGCTCAGGTAGCTGAAGAAGAGCGTCGAGGTGCCGTCGGGCTTGGCAGTCAGCGCAACGTAGAGCACATCGTTGGTCGGAGCGGTGGCTCGGGGCAAGACGATGCGATACGATTTGTTGCCAGTAATATCATAGACCAGAATGCTACGAGCTCCAGCATCTGCCACATAGCTGCAAGAGAGCAAGAGAGGGAGAGAGCGAATATAGATATCAGATTGAAAATTTCGAACTAGGAAATGTTCTACTTGCTCTACTTTCAATTGGGATTAGGCATCTCACTAAGGTACTTACACAAAGGGCTTGTTATCCTTGGAGTAGTCGACGACAATGAACTGCAAACGGCTCTCGGAGGTCACGAGATCGCTGAGGTCAATGCTTTTCACCACCTTGTTGTTGGCCGTGTTTATGGCCACGATTTTGGGGCTGCAGCGGCGTATGGGCTGCTCCAGCGTGTTCACAATGCCCACGTCCAAGGCCCACAGCAGACCCTATCGAAATGCATATATTATTTGATGTTATTTAAAATATTTTTCAATTGCGTTTGCGGCATGTCGGGAATTCGCAGTTTTTTATGCGCATCAGCAGAAATAATAAAGAGCAATCAAAATTACAAATAAAAAAAATAAAAACAAAACAAAAAAATCATTTAATTTTGCTGCAATTGCTGAACTGTAAATAATCAAATTCGCGTGCCCATTCTATATATAGATATATGTGTACATATATATATATATATGCATAGATACATTTATAGATATATAAATTATTGTTGTTTTTCTTGCAATGAATTCTGCTGAAATACAACGCAAAATGTTTGCATTGAAATTGAACAGAAATAATATTTTGTAAATTTTAAATTAGAGATCAAGGCTGGGAAATAAACATGGAAATATTGCAAAATTTAAAAACTAAATAAATTTGTGGTCTAAAATGTGTTGAACCAGTAATAAAATGTATTTACTCTTTTCATTTCAGTTAATTAAGACTTTATGAAGCTGCGAATAAAGTTCACATTTCGATAAGAAATGTGGCGAATGGTCTTAATTGAAATTGCAATCAAACTGAAGTTGTTTCAAGTATCAGCTTGTTCTCTGAAGTTCATTGGAATGGTTAAGCCTTCAGTTACGGTTTCAGCCATTTCTGCTGTTGACTGTGGAATTTTACAGAATTTAATAGCGAGCGGCGCTGGGGCCCAGCATATATTTGGTTAAAAAAGCCATTTCAGTTGACTAATGAACATATATATAGTATATATATCAAATATATATTTACAACTGGAAGCTGCATCAACAAGAAAAACAAGAACTGCATAGTAAGTTTTTCGATGCGAAGGCAACAAATTGCGTTTTCCAGCTAAATTGGCTTGTTAATGCATATGCAAGTGTGTACGTGCGTGCGTATGTGTGTGTGCGTATGTGTGTGTCGTTATGTTTGTATAGGCATGCATGCATGCATGCCCATTTCAACGGCAAGGCATATCAAATTCAAAAGTCCACTCACATTTTGATCCACGGCCACGTCCACAACGGATTGCAGGGCCTGGCAGTTGCCCTCCTCCTGTATGGCCCAGCAGGGATACGGCGCTATTTTGGCCAAGCACTCGCCCTTCTTCAGATTCACCTTGCCCAGGGTGAAGGGCACGCCCTGCTTGTAGCGCGGCAGTGCCACAAACGCCGAGTCGCGCTGCAGCTGCGCACGCGTCACAATCACATTGCGGGGCACATAGCGACCCGATTGCACATAGATGTTCTTGGTGGAGTCGCAGGGCCAGTGCAGATTGCTGCCGCTCAGCTGGAAGGTGAGCTCGGCCAGCGGATTCTTATTGCACTTGCTGATGCCAATCGAATTGCCGCTCGAGCTGCTGGCCGGCTCATCCAGCGAGGAGCTGTAGGCGCCACAGCTGACGGCTATCAGCGAGAGGAGCAGCAGCAGCGGCAGCTTCACAGCCATTTTTGTTGTTGCTTAGATTAAATAAACTCTTTTCCTTTGCTCGTCGTGCAACTGCAACTGTTTGGTCAGCGTCTGCTTTTGATAGTATAGAAAATTATTGCGGCGCTTGGCGCATTTATATTTGAGATCTCATGCTTCATTTGTGACATTTGGCGCGTGTGTTTTAGACGCGTCTGCCCTGGTGCAAGGTCGTCTGCTCAACATGAGGAAACATGTGTCTGACCAGCTAACACACGCACACACACACACATATACACACATATACACACACACACGCACACACACACTCACACCTACACACATACATATTTATACAGCAGCAACACTGGCCAGCCATCACGTCTGTCTCGCGCCATTTTGTGCGACACAACGGAAGCAATGAGCTGCCATGTTAGCACCGCCCCCACACCCCGCCCGCAACCATCACCCGCCGCCCTTAGCCATCAAAAATCGTTTTGCGGAAGTGAGAAACGTTTGACAGCGCGTGTGCAATCTGCAGCGAAGCAAATATTAATTGTTGCTCTACTGATTCCATCTAATCATCTCAGATACATCGTGGAATTTCATCAACAAACTCAGCACAGTTCAGGCCAAAGGCTACCGCATCTACTGACCTGAAAAAAAAAACTGAGAAACTTGTCCAAAACTTTGCTCTTCATATCCAACGAAGTATTTCTTCGTTAATGTTTACTATTTGCTTGTTTTGTGTCTCTTGCTGGAAAACAAGCTCGGTTCGAGTGAGCTCGAGAACACGCTGTCGAGTTTGTTGAATTTCGAGATAACTAACATTGTTAAAGCATTTCTCTTCAAATTAAAAAACAAAGAAACCCATGCTGATAACTTTGCTGTTTGATAAGCAAACAGTGTTTGAGCTGCTATTGCAATAGAATATTTATCTTGAAATTTGCTAATAACAATAGCTACCAATCTCGTTTTTTCATATTGGGGGTATAGCTCAGGGGTAGAGCATTCGACTGCAGATCGAGAGGTCCCCGGTTCAAATCCGGGTGCCCCCTGGAATCATATTTTTTTATATTACTTCCATTCCAGCAAAATTTAAAGGCACATTGGGTCATAAACAACTCTTGAGCAACCATAAGCTGCGCCGCCTGCTTATCTCTTCCTCTCTCTCTCTCTCGCTCAACATAATGCGTTCGCCTTTGTTAAGAGACCCAGTCAGCTCTGTGAATTTTGGTCAAGAGTCTGTTACTTTAAAATACTGCCTGAATTTCAACTGTTTAAAAGGGGAAGCTGACCCTTTTTATGGGTATTGCGGATTGCGGATAGCGGTCTTTGGCCTTCACAATGCGAAATGACATGCAGATTGAATTTGTGTGAAATTCATTTTAACAAACTGTCATAAGTTGCCATATTTTGATGGTAATCTGAAGATATATTTATCTATAATACACAGCTGTAGCGAAAGGTCGCCGCGTGGGCGTTCGTTCGCTCAGCTTGTCTGTGTGCCATCATCAGTCGGGCTGCACGAGTCGCAGATAAATATTTATGCGCTTTCATAAATAAAACCAATAAAATTAAACACACATTCTGGCACTGTAAAATGCAAGTCATATAAATATGATCTGCCGTCGAAACATGAATACGGCACAAAATAAAAATATTTCATATATAAATGTGAGAACAAATGTGTTCTGGGTTTGCTTGCCAAAGAAATATATATATATATACATATAAATGTACATATATATAGAATTCCAGACACGTCAACAAAGCCGGAAAATTTCTTGAATTGTGCAATATTGAAGTAAAGCAAAATCAATTAAAATCAATGTATAAATGCTTAATTGATGGCAAATCGCCCAATGCAACAAATTGAGTTTGTGCTTGCCTGATAAATATATATGAAAACTTTAAGCAAACGTTAACACAAAAACAACTTTGCCGCTCGAATAATGCCAGCAACAGAACAGAAATCGAAGTCGAAAGCGAAAGCCAAAGCCAAAGCAAACGCAAACATGAAAGCACGGCACATAAATTATACTCAAAATGTATAAAAAATGGTGAAACAAACTGCTTGAATACCCCATAAGTGAATAAATTGTGAGCAAAAGCTAACTCTGTTTCCTATAATAATTTTCGTAAGTGAGGCTGAAATCTTGGCCCGCTGAAATTAGTCTTATATAATATAATTTATATATATTTAGCCACCGATTACTTAATTTATTAAATACATTTTAAAAATATAATTGTATTTTGATTAAGGATAATATTAATGTATTAAATACAGTTTTTTTAAAGACCATTTTATTTTAATTTAATTAATTTAATATTTTATATTTTTTTAAATACTTGTTTAAACAAAAAAATAAAAAAATTTTGGATTTATTATATTAAATTTAATTTATTAAAATAATATATTATACAATTAAAACGACCTTTTAAATATTGTTAATTTTTTGTTAATTTATTTCTTTTTATTTAAACTAAAGTTTCATTTATTAAATACATGCAAAAAATATTCTAAATTTAATGTAAGGTTTAATTTATAATTTAATTCAATATTTAATTTATTAATTTTATAATATATCGTATATATGTTTTTAGTGGATGAATTTATTCTAT